CTTCTTCTTCTTCTTCTTCTTCTTCTTCTTCTTCTCCTTCTCCTCCTCCTCCTCCTCCTTCTTCTTCTTCTTTTTATTCTCCTTTAAAGTCGACTTTTTCGTTTTTCCACTTTCTTCTATTTCGTCTTGATATCTTTTTCAGTAGTCCCTACAAGTATGTATTGAATAGTCTTGTCTGAAGCTCTTATGTCAGTTTTTTTTTTTACCTTACATGAAACAACAGCCCCATCAATACATCCCACTTCCACCACTTGTCATTCACTTACCTCCTTCTTCCTCATCTCTCTCATTCATCATCACTACTTTCTCCTCTTCAGTTTCTTTTACCTACTAAAACTTCCTACATTTCTTTTATTCCGTGTCATTTTCTTCTCCTTTATTTCTCTTGAGTTCCTTCCCTCACTTCCATCTAAATCACCATTTCTTCTTTATCATTCGTTTCGGCTGCCAGTACTTGCCTGAAGAATGGACACGTAATGATATCACCGTATTTCATCGTCTTCGCAATCCTCTTCTCTTTTTCTTATTTCTACTCCTTTGCTGAATTCATTTTCAACTCTCTCTCTCTCTTTCTCTTTCTATCTCTGTTGCCACCTCAACCTCCGCCTACCTTTAAGTGCCGACCACTCCACGCCCAAAGGTTTTAAGTGACACTGAACATTACGTAGCGGACATCTTTAACAGCTGACACAAGAATCTCATTTTGTGTGGCCCTTAACGTAAAGAGCTGCCATCTTGAAATCTTCTCTCACAAGACAAGAAAAGGAGAAAATATAAAATAAACGAAAAAAGATTATATTTTCTTTATCTCCCTAAACACAGGTTAATTATAACAATCTTGCTATCAAGAAATCGGCATTTAAACAAGAAACTCAACTCGAAAAAAATCCCTTTTCAAGTGAGAGATCTTTGCGACGCCCTGTAAATTCAGATTCCAAAAGTGGAACTGCTTTCGACTCTTTTTAAAAATTATGAAATACATTAAGAATATTGCAAATCATTAAGTAGCATGATTAATCATTTTTATTTGTATTTTTTCATTTTAATTTCTGTTGCTTTATTTACGCTACTAATAATATTGTCTTAAATTTTATTATTAGATAATATAGTTTTAAGTTTTATTATTAGATAATATTGTCTTTAATTTTATTCTTAGATGAAAAATTGTCAATCATTATTAATTTTTGACTATTATTTCCTTCATCTTAATTTCTGTTGCTTTAGTTACACTATACCTTATATGATCTTTATTTTTATTATTACATAAAGTATTGTCAACCATTATTAAATTTTCGTTATTATTTCTTAATATTATTTGTTTTAACTGTAATATCTTAAATGTTATTATAAGATAAAGCACTATCAAACATTAATTCTTATCAATGATTTCTTTCTTTTTAATTTTAGTTGCTTTATTTACAGTAAAATTATCTTAAATTTTTTATTAAATAAAGCATCATCAATCATTATGATGAATTTTTACTAGCATTTTCTCACCTTAATTTCAGTTGCCTGATTTTTCTTTTATTGACACTTCACGCAGTACAAGGCCAAGAGCCACTCAAGATAGAGCGTTACTGAGTGAGATTGTAAAGGAGGTGGGAAAGTAAGAGAGTATTATAAGGACGAGTAGGATATATATATATATATATATATATATATATATATATATATATATATATATATATATATATATATATATCGACTGTCCCAGATCTTAAAGAGACCAAGAATATAATTGATTCTAGGGAAAAATTAAGTTCTGAAAAAGAAGCTGTGTGTAATTTGCCTTTTATCAAAGGAACACAAAGAAAATAGGGATTGTTTGCTAGCATGAACATGGCGAGTCCAAGCTATCAATGTCCGCGTTGATGACACTAAGAAATATACCTCGTTCCAGTACAGTGGAACCTCGGTTCACGAATTTAATTCGTTCCTGAAGGCCGTTCGTAAACCGAAATGTTCGTAAACCGAAACTATTTTTCCAATAGGAATCAATTTAGAGAAAAAAAATTACAGTACAATCAAATTTTGGGGGGGAAGCACAACATAACACACGAATGTATAGAACACGGCGGTCAACTCAGAAATGATTCCGTTCGGGTTAGCTAGGTTCGGCTATGTTGTTCGTTAACCGAAGCATCTTCATCTCGAATTTTCTGTACGAAAACCGATTTGTTCGACATGCAAGAGGTTCGAGAACAGAGGTTGCACTGCATCTGTCATAGTAATAGCGATGTAGTAGTTCATCATCCACAAGGCTGCGTAAGCACTTTTAAAATCTGTCATGGCTGGACTGTGAGGATTGGGCAACACCAGCGCAGACATGACAGCGATACTCCATTCTTGGTCTGATCTGACTTTTGTAAAGACAGAGCATGGCAGCAGGAGTTAGATATTTTCAGTCGCGATAGAACGAACCAACCATTCTCCCAACATCTTTTGCGATGGCACCGGATATACGCGTTGCATTTGAGGCCGGGAGTGTGCGTTAGCCCCAGCAGGCGTTCGAAGCAGGGAATCTCTTTGAAGGGGTCGACTACTCATCAGGATTGGTGCAGGTTTAGAGTCCGCTCGGTGGTGATAAAATGTTAGGAATTGGGTGTATTGAATGATATCAACCAGTCTTTCCTCCGTTTCGCCGTGAGAGTAAGGCCAGAAGAGCTGGCAGGCACTGGTAATAGTAATATTATCCTCCTGGGACTTGTGGACCATTACGCTTTTTTGATTTGCAAATAACAGCCGGCATACTTGAAAATATGCAAAATAAACAAAAACACAAGAATCGAAATTGGATTAATCCATGACTTCTGCACTCCCTAGCTATGGATTAAATAGTAGGGTAGAATGGACTCCCTACCCTTTTCTTTATTTTCGTGAACACCGACTGGAATTATACTGGCTCTTTTCAAAATTAAAATCGGGCCCTCTTTTTTCTAATAAAGAATTGTACTCCCAAAGAAGACCGTAGAATCGACCCGCTGAAACGTTGGTGTAACAACAATACCAGCAAAAAGAAAGAGTGCTCTATTCTAGACAAAATCTGTTTCGGAATAATCAGAATTATGGCTGATTAACTGCCGCAAATCATATTTCTGATGCAATGGCTCCACAAAACACGGAATCTAATTACCTTGAATTACTCTCACGATTACTATGTGAGTAGAAGACGCATTAAAAACTTCTTAAAATGATAGACAATAGAGAGAAAATTCCCGCCAGTAATTTAAATAATCGTTGACGTATTTATAAAGCCTACTTTAATAAATAAAAAAAAATTACTTATCTACAACCTCTTTCTTATTTGCGAAATGAAAGTTGTCCTGAACGGCCACTCTTCTCGATCTTTTTGCGTTAATACAGTTGAGCCTTCTAAATATCGGCCTAATAGTTTTCTACCTCTTTTGGCAACATACTAGAGGCTTTAATTAACTCCGAATTAGTTAAGAATCTCATTTCACATGGACTTCTTTCACATAAGCAATATGGCTTTCGCTTCTCTAGGTCAACTAAAAAATAAAATATTACCAGTAATACATTTGACTCTCGACAAAAACCCTCTTTACAAAAATACATCAATTAACCCTGATCTACAAACTGATTTCTTACTAAGAATGCATATACTATTCATACGAACCTATCCTAAAAATCTTGTCGGCATTAAATAACCCATTGAGGTGTTGATGTGCTGTAAAAGAAAAGAAACCAAACCAACCTTTCTTTCACATAAGCAATATGGCTTTCGCTTCTCTAGGTCAACTACTGATGTATTAACAGTTATTGCTAAAAAAAAGTCTATCAAGTTTTAGATAAAATGGTGAGACTCGGGCTGTTGTTTGGGTATCACAAAAGCATTTGACAAGGTTTGGCATGCTTGTCTTATTCACAGGTTGAAATGTTAAGTTTTTTTCTGGAGGAAATTTTAATGACTCAATCTTTCCTGTCAAATCGTGAAATAAAAGTTGTCTTGAATGGCCACTCTTTTAGATCTTTTTGTATTAATGCAGGTATATCCTAGGGCTGTATCCTTGAACCTACGTTGTTCCTAATTTTCATCATTGACCTTCTTGATGGCTTCATTTCTCAAATTAGTATCTATGTTGATGACATAGCTATTTACTCGCCTCTTAATAGTAAGTCTGATCGATTCGATAATGTAAAACAGGCAGCTGATCTTAAAAGTTACCCAAAATCTGCTGTTAACTAGGGCAAAGAATGGCTTGCTAATTTTAACGCCTCCAAAACAAAACTGAATTCATCTAAGAGAATCAGTAATTCTCTTATATGAGTGGCTCTTGGGTCTTGTATTTTGTGAACGATTAGCTTAGCTTAGATGTGGCACAAGGCCGAAAGTGTAGAGCACCCAGTGAAGATCGAAATCTTTACTCAATCGTGATTGATCGAACAACATAAGTTTGCTAACCATTACGCCACCTCGAAGTGCCCTAAATGATTTTCTATGCGTAGCTTAAATGTGGCACAAAACGAAAAGTATGAGACCCTCAGTGAGGATCGAACTCATTACTCAGTCATAATTTATTTAGTGAGACAAGCTTACACTACGTCGAAGAGTCCGAAGTTGCCTATATATAGTTAATTTACATAAGGTTTTAAGAACGAGTATTGTGTGTGTAAGTAAAAAAATGCACTATTGACTTTGGGTGTTGGTTTTTGGCGGGCTTTGCGAATCAGAAAAACCGTAATATTAGCTTTAATCATCTGTCATAAAGTATCCACAATTAGTGAGAGAGAGAGTTACTAATCAACCAAAACCTGAAAAATCAATAAAGGGTATAAAAATCTCTCGGCCTGATCCTAACCCAACATCTGACCAAATAACCAAAGGCTCGTCAGTTTTTTTTCTTCCTTTGAATGTGCCTTTTGTTCAAGTGGGGAATATTTTTCAGTCGTTTCTCATGTATTTTCACGGATATGGGGAAAAGAACTAGTAACAGGAAGCTAAGGAAGCAGTTTGGAATTAAAAAACAAATATAAAGCAATTAGTGTTCAATTCCGGACTGAAATAATGGGCGGACATTTTGAATGATAGCGAGACACGTAGAGGAAAGGAAAGAAGATACAGTAAGGAAGTAAAAGAAAGAAGGAGAAGGAAGAAAAGATAGAAAAAAAAGAAGGAGAAATAAGAGAATTAGGAATAACTGAAGAAGGTGTGGAGAATTTAAAAAGTAAAGGAAAAATAAAGTATTGAAAGGGAGAAGGAAGAACAAAAATGAAATGAAAAAAAAGCACGATAAAAGAAGTAAAAATACAAAAGGGGAAGAAGAGAAAGAAGGAAAAATAACAGGAAAGAAGTAGAGAGCGTAAAGAAAAAGAATTTTGATTCACTGACTGATCCTTTTTCTACGGTTTATCAACCCTTTGCAATCCAACGGCAAAACCTCTGGTCGGAAGGTTTTGAGGAACGTGCAATCACCTCTTAAGTGTTGTTGCTCCCAGGTCCACCCTGACCCGGAGTGGTAGCACCTTGTTAAGGTCCCAGCTAGAGGCAAATATTTAACCCCAAATGTGGGGTAGAAACATGATGAAGGCATAAAAATAGATTTTTATAGTAAAAATACCAGCAATACATTTTTGGAAAAAAATATTGCCAGGAATACATTTAAAAAAAAAAAAATTACCAGCAATACATTTTTAAAAAAAATATCAGCAACAGATTTTTGAAAAAAATAAAATATTACCAGCAATATTTTTGACTCTCGACAAAAAAACCTCTTTACAAAAATGCATCAATGAAACCTGATCTACAAACCTATTTCTTACTAAGAATGCATATTCTATTCATACAAACCTATCCTAAAAATCTTGTCGGCATTAAATAACCCATTGAGGTGTTGATATGCTGTAAAAGAAAAGAAACCAAACCAACCCTTTGTAGGTGATTTAAAACTACAAAATATATTTTTTTTAGATTGTAATATTTTTTTTAAAAGATAATAATGTTTTAGTGATATAAGACTTAATATTTAACCCATAGCTGGGGGAGAAGAGGTGAACTCATATTTGCGCGTAAGTGTAATATATCGAAAGCAACAAGAATTGGAACGACTCTGCGATTAACAATTCCAAGCCATTATGCATTACATCACCCGCACGTCCAAACTTACAGCGCCTGGTATTCCCAAACGTTCACCCTTCTAGGTAGTGAGCAGGCTCGACTTTTCTTAACTTCGGTGATCGTACGGGAACCGGTATTTTGCCGTTATGTGGCCGTAAATCAAGAAGAAGAAGAAGAAGAAGAAGAAGAAGAAGAAAAGAAAAGTGAAATAGGAGAGGAAGGAAAGAAAAGCGGAATAAAGAAGAAGAAGAAGGAAAAAGAAAATAATGATAAAACAGAGACAATGACGCAGAAGACAAGAGCCGAGAAGAAAAAAACAGGCGGGGGTGGAGAGAGAAGGATAAGGAGAAGGAGGTGGGAAGGAAATGAATAACGACCAAAAGAAAAAGTTGCGTAAATGATTGCAAACAAGTGTGTAACCTGAGCGAAATGGTCTGGAAAACTTTGGAGGAAAATGACAAATGGGGCAAGTGAAGCGAAGCGAGAGGCCGTATTAGGGAACGATGAATTAAAAAGAAAGAAAGAAAGAAAGAAAGAAAGAAGAAGCAAGCAATAGTAATAAAATGAAAAGGAGGATCAAGAACGGCGAACAAGGTAAAAAAAAGAAGAAAAAGAAAGGGGAACGTATTAGGGAACCATGAATTAGAAAGGAAGAAAAAAAACTAAAGAAATGAAGAAAGAATGAAAAAGACAGGAGGATAAACAAGCAAGCAAGAGGAAAAGAAAGAGAAGGCGTATTAGAGAACAATGAATTAGAAAGAAAGAAAAAAGACAAGGGCAAAGAGCAAGCAATTAAAAGAAAAAGAAAGAAAATGAAGAACAAGGACGAAGAAGAAAGAAAAAGTAAAGAGAGAAAAACAAGAAAAAGAAGCCGTATTAGGGGACGAAGAAGTAGAAAGAAAGAAAGAATAAGAAAGACAGGAGGAAAGAGCAAGTAAGCAAGAGAAAAAGAAAAAAAGGAAGAACAAGAACGAAAAACAAAGGAAAATTATTAAAAAAAAACATCAAGAAAGAAAAAAATAAAGAACACGAAAAGTAAGATAACGAGACAAAAAGAAAGAACGAAAAAGAAAAAAAAATGAAAGAACGAAAAAGAAAGCAAACCAAACATAAAAAGAACAAGGAAAATGTATAAAAAGGCAACAAGACAGACAGAAAAAAAAAGAAAAAAGAAGAAACGTGGACGCTGAAAGAAAAACGAAAGAATGATAATGAATAAATAAATTTATCAAGAGTGAGAGAGAGAGAGAGAGAGAGAGAGACAGACAGACAGACAGACAGACAGAGATAGAGATAGACTATATATTTACATGAAAAGAAAAAAAAAAGGACGGAAATATAAGACGCATTGGGCTTTACTGCAATGATTAGTCATACTACCCTGCAGATCAGTTCACGGGAATATAAATTCCATTCATACTGGCTGCTCCACTTTTATAGCCTTGTGTCAAACATAAACTTAATGAATAAGCATTTGAAAAATATATATACCAGACTATATATTGTGTCAAGGTCATATTTTAAAGAAAATTTAGCATATAAAAATAATAAAAATTTTGGCACGCAATACAAGTATACTGAACGTTACAAAAAAAGTAACGGAAGTTTCTGGGCGATAATCATAAGTTTTCAAAATTTGAAAATTTCGATAATAATGAATCAATTTGCGAAAAATAGTTGAATTTTTCTACCTAAGTTATTTTCTTTGTGATTTAAAGTTCATAATCTTTTTTTACATAAAAAAACTTGAAATATACGTAATGAAGTATCTATGTACGGATACACACGTACATAAATGCTTGCATTAAATTTACAATATCCTAGAACCAGGAGAAAAAACATCGTTAATTTTTTTTAAAAAACGAATCTTTCTTGAACATTGAATGTTGTCTTTGTGGCGACAAGGAAGAAAAGTTAGTAGGAGGAAACACGGAAAAGAAAGTCTACAACATTCTGGAATTATCATAGAGGTTGAATTAACATAAGTCGTTCAAGCAGACGATGACAAAGCGTTTCTATAATAAGAACCACCTTTGATAAATGGCCCTAGGAATTAATCCTTTAAAATGTCATCCGTTTTAAAGAAAGAACAGACTGTAGGTTTAAGGCTAAAAGAAATAAAAGAAAAATTCATGAGTTCACTTGTGGATAAATACACGTTAAAAATAAATTTGCTCCCTGGAAAGCATGAGTTCAATCTCTGGCAAAGGCAATGCCGTAATATACACCGACTGAATGGAGAAACAAAAGAGCATTATGCAGGATTATTACAGCATCTGACAAAGGGAGTATAAACAGTTATTAAACCTGTAACTCCTTAGAAAGGCATCTGCGAAAAAGAGTATTAACAGTTATGAGATCTGTTACTCCCTAGAAAGGCATCTAAGAAAGGGAGTATTAACAGTTATTAAATCTGTAACTCCTTAGAAAGGCATCTGAGAAAGGGAGTATTAGCAGTTATGAGACCAGTTACTCCCTAGAAAGGCATCTGAGAAAGAGAGTATTAACAGTTATTAAACTTGTAACTCCCTAGAAAGCCATCTGAGAAAGGGAGTATTAACAATTACTAAACCTTAACTCCTTAGAAAGGCATCTGAGAAAGGGAGTATTAACACTTATTAAACATGTAACTCCTTAGAAAGGCATCTAAGAAAGGGAGTATTCAGAGTTATTAAACCTGTAACTCCCTAGAAAGGCATCTGAGAAATGGAGTATTAAGAGTTATTAAACCTGTAACTGCCTAGAAAGGCATATGAGAAAGGGAGTATTAGCAGTTATGAGACCTGTAACTCCTTAGAAAGACAGCTGAGAAAGGGAGTATTGAGAGTTTTAAAACCTGTAACTCCTTAGAAAGGCATCTGAGAAAGGGAGTATTAACAGTTATGAGACCTGTAATTCCCTAGAAAGGCATCTGAGAAAGGGAGTATTAAGAGTTATTAAACCTGTAACTCCCTAAAAAGGCATCTGAGAAAGGGAGTATTAACAGTTATTAAACTTGTATTTCCCTAGAAAGGCATATGAGAAAGTGAGTATTAGCAGTTATGAGTCCTGTAAATCCTTAGAAAGGCATCTGAGGAAGGGAGTATTAAGAGTTATTAAACCTGTTACTCCATAGAAAGGCATCTGAGAAAGGGAGTATTAACAGTTATTAAACATGTAACTCCTTAGAAAGGCATCTGAGAAAGAGAGTATTAACAGTTATTAAACTTGTAACTCCCTAGAAAGGCAGCTGAGAAAGGGAGTATTAACAGTTGTTAAACCTGTAACTTCCTAGAAAGGCATCTGAGAAAGGGAGTATTAACAGTTATGGGACCTATAACTCCCTATAAATGCATCTGAGAAAGGGAGTATTAACAGTTATTAAACCTGTAACTCTCTAGAAAGGCATCTGAGAAAGGGAGTATTAGCAGTTATGAGACCTGTAACTCCATATAAATGCATCTGAGAAAGGGAGTATTAACAGTTATTAAACTTGTAACTCCCTAGAAATGCATCTGAGAAAGCGAGTATTAACAGTTATGAGACCTGTAACTCTCTAGAAAGGTATCTCGGAAAAAAGAGTATTAAAGAGTATTACATTATTTACATTGTTCAAACTCTTGTCATCATCTTTATTGTTATATTGGGCGAAATAAAAGGTTCGGTTCGAAATTCCAACACATATCACCTGAAGACGACTGGAGCGTACAACAACCGAAACATCGTGAATATCACAATAAAGATTAGGACAATAATCCGAACAATGTAAATAAAGGTTACGATTTTCGTAATCCCAGAGAAAGACATCTGAGAAATGGAGTCACTTGACATAGATTTAAATCAAAGTGTTGGCATTCTGAATTGACTGACAATGATTGTTGTAATGTCTCGTCTTTATCTAAAAGAGTTTTGTTCAATTTACTCAGATCAACGTCGATTGGTTAAAACGTTGGGAAACCTTTCCTACAACGTCGGCAAATATTAAATCTTATGATGGGTTTTATTTTTGTTGGCTTTTTCATTTTTCATTATGTTGAGCCCTTTTGAGGTCTTTTTTCTGCATGACTCTGAAATCTACCAACTTAACAAAAAAAAAAAAAAAAAAAAAAAAAAACAAGAAAAAAACAGTGGTAGCAAAATATACATATTACCGTAAATTGGTAATACAAAAATATAACATTTAAAAACAGCTAAACCGGTTTATCTGGCTTCCCTCTTCACAGCAAAAAACGACACAAAAATGTGCACAGGGACTGAAAAATATACAACCCCAGATTATTGTTATATACAAACATAACATAAAAGGCTAATTACGCTCACCAACTTCTCCTGTTTATAGAGAGTTGGTTGTTAAGACTTAATATATACCGATTATAAAATCTCATGCGATAATTAGTATTAGCCTTACTCAGTACTGAGAAGACGTCCGGGCTATAAAATGGGGGTGATATTCCTTATCTACAGTGTTTAATCAATGCAGCCATTGACAAACTTCGTCCTGTGATGCTCTCTGAATCGACTGTCTAATTTCGCGAGGAAAATAACGTTTATTCAAATTTTGTATTGTCGTTTTCGTTCTTACTTGTTTACTCACACACTCTCTCACTCAAGAAAAAAATTGGGAAGTCAGTGTCAAAGGGAATAACGATTACATACTCGAATAACCTCGCTTGCCTGTTGCATTGTGGGTACCCAAGTAAGAAAAAGAAAAATATTAGCCATCGTCTATCGGTGTTATTTTCAACGTGCTTCAGACTCAGTCTGCAACAATACAAACATTCAAAAGGCTTAAATTGGTATCTCTACTCAGGACGTCAACGAAAGAAAATGATTCATTTAATGTTCAGTTTCTGACTCCACCACTTATTCAGCGTCTGTAATCACACATGTAAAAACAAATGCATACGTGTATGATCTTCTGCAGTGAAAATGGTTGAGATACCTTCAATGAAAAAAGGTTGAGATACCTTCAATGAAAAATGGTTGAGATACCTTCAATGAAAAATGGTTGAGATAACTTCAATGAAAATGGTTGAGATACCTTCAATGAAAAATGGTTGAGATAACTTCAATGAAAAATGGTTGAGGGAAGCCAGATAAACCGGTTCAGCTGTTTTTAAATGTTATATTTTTGTATTACCAATTTACGGTAATATGTATATTTTGCTACCATTGAACAATACTTGTATCAGATGCCTTCGAATAATCTCGCACTAATAGTACTTCGCTCGATAATACTCGCTCGAATAGTAATCCGTATAGTAATCTGAATCGAGAAATAGTATAATGAATAGAGTAGAGAAATAGTAAAGACTAGAAGTGCAGATTCGAATAGTATAATCTAGACTAGACTAGAATATAGCGATCCGAATAGTAATAGAGGATAGACTAGAAATAGCGATCTTTTAGACCACACGCGACTTCCTATATATGTGTTTCCTCTATGGGCCATTTAATTCAATACTGGGATCGCCTGTGCTTGCTCACTGGCGATCTATGTTCAAACTTAAGTGTCGGCAACGACACTTTGTTCATATATAACAATTCGAATTACAAATTTCCACGTATACAAACTTTAAATCCAAGAAAATCATCCTTAAAAATTGGGGGTCGTCTTATACCAGAATTCTAAAAATGAAACCTTAAATTCGGAGTGATTTTTGTCGATAGGCGAACCGCGGCCTTGGGGCGATAATCAATAACGGAAATGAAAAGATTCACTTTATCAAATAAACTTAGGCACCTCCACTTTTTCGCGGGAAAACGGCATAGCGTAATGAAAAATGCCACAAACTTAACGAAAATCAAATTTTATCGTCAAAATGCTTATGTTATTATTAAGATGAAAGACCAAAGTATTTTTTAATTATTTTTTGAAATTTTTTAATATTTTCTAACACGTTCGAAATTTTGGTTAAATTCTTCTTTTGTTTACGTCATCGCGGTGCTGTTAAAATAACATTGTTTTTTTGCGCTTTTTTTCCGTTGAAAACACATTGATTTGGAAATTCTTGTAAAAATCAAGTAATTGTCCGATTTTAATGAAATTTTCAGGACTTATTCACAAATGAATGAAATTATTTTTGAAATATTTCTTTCTAGAAAATTTTGGTAAAAAATATTTTTTTTAAATACACCCCACTTACTGTCCTGAAATTTCGTTCAAAACCTTTTTATTTCCTGACAATTTTTTTTTGTTTAAAGTAAGAGTCATTAGAGATGGTAAATCACCTACTTTTTTTTTCAAATTTGCACTAACTAAAAATCTGCTCTGAATTAAAAAATAATGAATCCAATAAATCTATGATATTACTTAATTAGAAAAGCTTTTAATTGCTTTTGTAAATAAGTAATATTAATTCGTATTGCCTGAAGAAATAAATTTTTTCTGATGAATAATTAAATTTTACAAGAATTTTTTCATTTGTTTTACATTTTAATTATAATAATTTATAATAATTTAAAAATCGTGCAAAATTCTGTATTAGGCTATTTCCTTGTGATAATTAGTAATTAAGTAGAAACAAAATTTACAAGTTCAAAATTGCAAAGTTTAATAAACTTAGTGGTGCTAATTTTTTTCAAATAATTTTTTATGTTGTATTTTTTTACTTAATACGTTCCGTATTTCCATGTACAGTAGACTGAAATTGCCATTATTATAAAAAGAGTTTTGTCCCTTTCAGTAAAACTAAAAAAAAAAGCGTTTACTCAGATTTCTAATAATTTTCATTTATGGTCATCCGTAGTAGCTGTCATCACTCGTCAATCAACACGTAGATCAAGTATTGGATAAAAATAACAGTACCAATCGTTAATAATTGGTTGTATATTACTTTTTTATGCTAGAAGTAAGTAATATTTCTTTTAAATCAGATTAATTTAACATTAAATTTTCTAATTTTACTAAAATAACGTGTCAGAAACTTTTTTAAATATTTTTAAAATCGATAAATTTGTGTTTGTTTACAAATATCTTAAAATTAAGAAAATGGCGGGAATTACGAAAATTTAAAATTCCAAAATTAAATTTGACATTCCAATGTATATAGTTTCTATCTGAAATACACCAGAATTGTTTACTTAATGGAAATAATAAATTTAATGATTAAACTTTCAATTAAAGCTAAAATGAAATCTTCAAGCATGTTTTTTCATTTTTTAAAATTTATTTTAAAGTTAGGTATCGAAAATTTTGCCGAAAAAAATGGAGGTACCCAAATAAAACCATTTTTAGCTTATATACTACTGATATAGCTTCCTAATAAATTGCCTATTTGAAGAATAATTCCATATCAATAAAATCAACTTGTATCCATGCAAGCTCAGCTGAGAAAATGTTAAACAATGAGTTAAGATTGCGTTCACAGCAGTGGAATGTACTATTATCGTGCTGCTGTTAGCGGTATTTTGTGATTGTCGATGAAGTATAAGTAAATGGCCTTTAGTACACCAGGCTGTTTGTAAGTGTTTGGATATAGGAAAAGAAGAAGATGAATCAATATTCGCAAGAGATCACGTGATGAAACGTAAACAAAACAATGGTTCCTCTTTTAGGGAACGTGTATAGGAAAAACATGATATAAAATCGGTTTTGTTATTTTGTTCATTAGGTCGTCTTATACGCGGAAATAACAGTCAGTTATGTACCATGTGTGATACACGCTTAGACGATCGTGTATCTTTCGAAAAACGAGGCAGATCTTTTCCGACAGTAGGTTGCCATTTCTTTCTGCGGTAGACCAGTTGCCATCCAAGGCTAAAGAAACCGGTCTGTTTTACTATTTACCCATAGGTGGGAGGGAGAAGAAGAGGATTCATACCTTTTCCAAGTGTATTAGCACGTAAGTGAATGTAATGGATTCGATTGGAATTCGAACTCGGCTCCCTGATTCCTCAGTCCGAGCCGCTATCCATTACTCCATCGTGCGGAAATATACGGTAATTAATTCTAAAACAGTCACACTGAGCTACGTTACATTAATTTTATTTTTAACTTAGGATAAATTAAATAAAGACCCTTACAATAGCTTGGAAATTTAATAGATTGAATGATATATATATATATATATATATATATATATATATATATATATATATATATATATATATATATATATATATATATATATATATATATATATGTATGTATATATATATATGTGTGTGTGTGTGTGTGTGTGTAAAAAAACAACAACAAAAAAAAACATGAAGACAAGGGAAATCACTGAGCAACAGTACGCACATCAAAAGAAGCAGATGTAGAATTCACTGATCGTCGGCCATTAAAACTATCTGTTGTCTTTCTCGTCTTGTTTACTATGTTGAAGCTAAAAGTTTGTTCTGTTGGTTTTGGGAAGATGAGCGTTGATAAATGATTTACAAGCCAGTCATAAACACGTTGGGTGCCGGGTTTGAGGTTGGGAAGCCGTAGGGATTTAGTCGTTAGGGGAAAAAGTAGAAAAAAAGGGAGTGAAAATGCAGAAAAAAATCGAAGTGAAAAAATAGAAAAGGAATGGAAGACGGGAGTTTAGAATAGGTGGAAAGATATGAACTTGTGGCTATATAAAGAAAGAAAAAAAGGAAAGAAAAGATGTTTATTAAAGGAGAAGACTAAACGAATAAAAATTAGAATGAAATAAGAAAAATGAAAAACAAAGGCAAAGAAAGAAAGGGAATGTGAAAAAAGGGAAAAATCGAAATAAAAAAGGGTATGAAATGAAAGAGAATAAAAAGAAAAAGGATAGTGATCAATAAGGATGGTAAATGGTAAAAGTAAAGAAAGAAAGAAAGGCTATAATAAGGAAAGTGGGAAAAGAAAAAAGGAAAAGGAAAAAGAAAAAACAAGAAAAAGGAAGGAGGAGAAAGAGGGAATAAAAGAAAAGTGTACAAGAAATGATGGAATGATGAATAGGAAGAAAAGGAAAGAAATAACCAAATAAATAAATAAGGAAAGAAAATGGAAAAAGAATGGGGGAAGAAGAAAAAGAAAAGGAATATTAAGAAAAGGAAATAAAAAGAGGAAGAAAAGTGTAAAAGAAGAGAATGAAAGAGGAATACGGAGAGAGGAAAAAGAAAAATGAAAAATACAAAAAGAAGATAGAAAAATGAAAATAAAAGTGCGGAAAGAAGAAAAAAGGAAACAAAACAAAAAGGGAGGAAGAAAACGAACAAAACAAAAGGTTAAAGGAAAAGGAATTTTAAAAAGACAGAAGCAAAAGAAAAACGTAATGGAAAGGAGAAAGAAAGTGGGGGGGGCAAGAACAATGAAAGTGTGTGAAATAAAATAAATAGAATGAAGAAAAAATTCATGAGGAAGAAAAAAGGAAAAGAAACACGAAGAGAAAAAAGGAAAAAGAAAATATAAGAAAATAGAAGTGCAAAAGAGGAAAAAGAAAAGGAGTCAGGAAACGATGAAGAAAAAGACATCGAAAATGAATGAGGAAAGGACGAAGAAAAGGTCTCAGGAAAGGACTAAGGAAAGGACAAACAAAGAAAACGAAAGAAAGAAAAGGAGTCAGGGAAGGACGAAGAAAAAGACAAAGAAAATGATTAAGGAAAGGGCGAAGAAATGGCCTCAGGAAAGGACTAAGGAAAGGACAAATACAAAAAAAGAAACAAAGAAAATGAGTTAGGAATGGACGAAGAAAAAGACAAAAAAACGAATGAGGAAAGAACGAAGAAAAGAGCTTAGAAAATGACGAAGGAAAGGACAAAGTAAGAAAAAGAAAAGGAGTCAGGAAAGAACGAAGAAAAAGACAAAGAAAATGATTAATGAAATGACAAAGAAAAGGCCTCAGGAAAGGACTAAGGAAATGACAAACACAAAAAAAGAAAGAAAGAAAATTAGTCAGGAAAGGACGAAGAAAAAGACAAAGAAAATGATTAAGGAAAGGACAAAGAAAAGGCCTCAGGAAAAGAAGGAAGAAAAAGACAATCACAAAAAAAGAAAAGGAATCAAGAAAGGACGAAGAAAAAAAAACAGAAAATGAATGAGGAAAGGACGAAGAAAAGGCCCCAGGAAAGGACTAAGGAAAGGACAAACACAAAAAAAGAAAGAAAGAAAAGGTGTCAGGAAAAGACGAAGAAAAAGACAAAGAAAATGATTAAGGAAAGGACAAAGAAAAGGCCTCAGGAAAGGATTAAGGAAAAGACAAACAAAGAAAAGGAATCAGGAAAGGAAGAAGAAAAAGACAAAGAAAATGACAAAGGAAAAATGACCAGGAAAGGACTAAGGAAAGGACAAACGGATGAGAATGGAAAAGGAACAAAAAAAGACAAAAAAAATCAAACGGATAAAGACAAAGGAAAAAAAATCAAACTAAAGAGAATAATAAAAAAAAATAAAGTTGAAGAATGAGAAAGAGAAAAAGAAGGAAGAAAGATATCTAATAGACTGAAAAGGAAGAAAACAAGAAAAAGAGTAGAAAGAAAAGTAAAAGGTGAAAAAAAAAAAAAAGGAAATAAGAAAAGAAAAATAATATAAGCAAACAAAGAAAGAAAGGTTAGAAAAAGAGAATAAGAAAAAGGAAAAGAGAGAATAAAGAACGAAAAAGGAAAATGTAAAAAAATAGGCAAACGATAAAGAAAAGGGGACGTAGAGAATATTTTTAAAAAGAGGGAGAGAATAAAATAAAAAGAGGTGCATGAACAACGACGGCAAGGAACGAAGAAGAAGAAGAAGAAGAAGAAGAAGAAGAAGAAGAAGAAGAAGAAGAAGAAGAAGAAAAGGCAAAATCATTGATAAAAAATAGCAACAAAGAGGGAAACGACAGTAACAATTATGGTAGCGCTGCATGACGATAGCTGCTGGGGAAGTGAAAGAAAGTAAGACAAATCAGAGAGAATAAGTTATAGCCACTCCATAAATCTGTCCACCTCGTTTCCTGGCCTCTGACCACGTCCCCTCCACGCCCCCAGCTCTGGCCTAATGCTGACTAGCCGGGGGCTTGGGACAACCAACTATTTGCTTCGACTGATGCTAATAGTGTAATAATAAAGAAACTGTGAGTAAGGGAAACAATATTAAAGGGTCAAGAAGGAGAAACAAAGAAGAAGCAAATTGCTAGTCTTATGGTGATCGAAACGAAAATGAAGAAGAATGAAGAAGCAGACGACAACGAAAGTATCTGTCTTAGTTACAAATAGCGGATCAATTTTCACTGGCGGTAGTCATCTTTACAGGAGAGTGACCTGATCCCAGCTTAACACCGACGCAGGCGCGATAAATTACGGCCTATTAACGTACGCAGTGGTCACTTTTATATATACACCTGCCATTAAAACGGACATGTTTGATGATTTTGTTATAGTCTTTCTGTAGCTACGACGAAACGATAGGGTTGGCGCCGTGACGTCGCATGTAGTCATAAATCAGAATGGCCTAATCGGGAAGACTATAGAAATCAAAATATTGAGAAACGGCGAGAAAGAAAAAGAGAAAAAGAGAGAAAAAAGGCGGCGGCTAAGGGAAAGAAAGGAAAGAGGTAATTAAAACTAAAGAGGGATTGAGTGGGAAACAAAAAAAGCGAAGAAAGAAAGAAAGAAAGAAAGAAAGAAAGAAAGAAAGAAAGAAAGATAATGGATGTTATGAAATTACGATGGAAAGAAGAGAAAAAGCAAATGAACACACAAAAGAAGTGACAGAAAGAGAAATGGAAAAAGAGATAGGGGATAAAAAGCAACGAAAGTGAAAAAGAGAGAAGGAGAAAACAGAAGGCAAAAAAGAAATGAGAGTGAGAGAAGACATGAGAAGCAAAAGAGGTACAAAAGAGAAGAGAAGGAGAAAATGTGAAGAGAAAAAGATTGTGTGAGAGAGAGGAGACATGATAAGTGGAAGAAAGAGAAAAGGAAAGAGAAAAGAATAGAAATTATCAAGAAGAAAAAGAAAAAGAAAGAGAAAGAGAAAGTTCAAGAGAAAAAAAAATGTCGGTAAGCAAGACGTTTCAGTGTTAAAGGCACAACTCACCTATCACGCATTTCTCCTTAAATGCAACTTCCGGCCACCACTAACCCTGAGGCCGTCAGTTCACTCGCTTATCTGACTGTGTCAACGTCAAGAAAATATATTGGTTATTCGAAGTGTTGACGGTAAAGGTGGTGACCGCGGTCAGCGATCAAACCTTATTGTTCTGCTCATTGTGTATACCCACGCACTTGTTATGATTCCACCGGAATTATCTGTAATGATAGAGGTCAGTGTTTCTCAGTTTTCTCTCACCAGACACTGAGGAAGGCTATCTGATTCGGAAGCAGTCGAAGAATATCACCATGGACTTGAAGTACGAAACGAAAGGCAAAAATGGACAGAGGAAAAAATCGGGTATAATTAGAGTCGTTAAAAATATATTTACTATCTGCGATAATAATTTGATTTTAGAATTTTTCAATTAATTCTTAATTATGATTGTGTATGTCAAGACTGAAAATAGAAATTTTTTAAAGAATTAACATTTTTTTTGAATCGCCATTCACGTGACCATGTAGTTGGAACGTTCGTATTCCGATCATGAGCCACGGGTTCGAATCTCACCATGGTTGATTTATCAGGAAAGTGATTCCTTGATGTTATTGGTCTAGGAAGGCGATTTCAGCATGACTAAGAAGTCCTTTTAAACTTCCAAAGAAGAAGAATTCCTAAGTTTAAAATCCATTTTCTAAAAATGAAAAAAAAAAAAAAAAAAAAAAAAATCTTCAAGCTTTTATTTTGGTTTTAATTTCAAGCTAATATATTGAATTTAATATTTCCAATAAGTAAAATACATTTTTTAAGTTGTTAAAATTGTTAAAAAATCATCAATATTAATGTTTCTGTCATCAACAACATGTTATTAAAAAAATAAAAATTTCAAAAATAAAATATAAATTTCTAAAATTTCATTTCAAGAGGATTCGCTTTCTCATTATGTGCCGCGTCCCATGAGGCCGTATGCGATCATGGTTCTCCACAATTTCCTCTCCCTTGCAGCTTTAAATAAATTATGACTTTTTGTTGTTTGTAAACCCTGTTCCATTTTCTCAAGCACGTATGTTATTCGTTGTTTTCCTCTGTCGCTGCGTCAATGAGTAACAGATTTTCCAAGCCCACTTTCATTTCTAAGTTTCCTTATTGTTTCCATTGCTCACATGTTCGGTCTATGGTATTCTCAGCATTTTACTGTAGAACCCCATTTCTGTTGCTTCAAGTCTCTTCTTCATCTTTGAGGAGATTTTCCAGGATTCACTGTCATGCAGGAGGACAGATATCACGTAATAGTTCAGTACTTTTTCCTTTGTTGTAACGAAGTTTTCCTATCTCTTAATATTCTGCTTAACTTTTTGGAAAGCGTCTTTGGCCTTCCAAATGCGTCTTCGGATTTCAGTGTCACATTTTCTGTTCTCTGTTAGAAAACTTAGTTTAATTAATCTGATTTGAAGCAAATATTGTTTACTTCTAATTTAAAATATCGCAGGAATGCATTTTTTAATGCGGAGGTGGGTGCTTTAATGAGTCAACTATCTCGATAGATTTTGTTTGGGAATTTTTCTACGTGGGACATAACTGCAAAAATTAGTTGACGAATATAACATATGTGCCAATTTTATATAATTTTTTAACTGCCCAATATTCTTGAAAATTTAGAAAAATATTCTAAGCAATCTAATATTTTATTGAAGTTCAGGTACTTTGGCTTTATAAGTACAATTTACGAAGATGCGTGTCGATGAAATGTAAGAAAATTATCAATAAATTTTAAATTCACTATAGTTACTGCGCTTATTTTCTGATAATGTCGTGTATGGACATCTGTATTTACAAAAATCAACACATTTACACACATACACATACAGATACACACAAAATCTTTTAAAAATATTGAAGAGTGAATGAATTTTAGTAAGCTTTGTATCTATGTTTAGTAAATATAGTTTTTATTTAATAAAAATATCATCTAACCGCCACAAATTAAAACAGAGTTTTAAAAGATTTAAAAATTTATAAATTATTATAATTCAAAGTTTAAAAAAAGATGAAAACAATTCTTGTAAAAATTAATTATTGATCGAACATTTTTTCTACAGACAATAGTTTCCATCATATACTTTATTCATAAAAGTAATTAAAAGCTTTTCTAATTAAATAATATCTTTGTTTTATTGCATTTTTGTTTTTACAATTCAGAACAGATTTTAGGTAACTGCGGGGCCTGTTTTGCAATAAATAAATACATAAATAAAAATAAAATAAAATTATGATTTAAATTTTCCAAGAACTTTAACTAATGTAAACATTGAACTCTACAAAAAATATATTACTTTTTAATATTTTTACCAATATCGTCTAAAAAAGAAACATTTCCAAAATAATTTAATTCATTTACGAATAATTCCTGAAAGTTTAATTAAAATCTGACAATTATCTGATTTTTGCAAGAATTTCCAAATCAGTGCGTTTTTCACTGCAAAAAGACGCTAAAATTTACGAGACAAATCTTTGGATTCCCCGCTGACGCAAGAAAACCAAGTTTTTAAACAAAATTTTCAAGTATCAGAAAATATAACTTAATAACTAATAATAATAACAAAATTCTTTGGTCTTTACTCTTAATAATAACATAAAGATTTTAACATTAAAATTTTGTTTTATTAAGTTTAGAGCATGTTTTCATCATATATACACTTTTTTGGCGAATCTATGGAGGTACTTACTTTAAAACATATCACGGGTTGACCAAAGTCTTCTGAACGAAACTAGATTGATGAAAATGTTCGAAATCGCAAGATATTATTACCGGGTGTGTGATCGTACTACTTGTGTTAATCATGCCAAATTATTTCTTGTTACATTAATGCTTATATTTTGGTGAACATACGTGTTTGAGTAGACGCCCCATTTTTTAACAGTGTGAATCACATCTATCAGTTTGTGCCTCCAGTTCGTGCACATTTTCTTAAGACTCAGGGTGTCTACTCAAATACAGGCATCCATTGACAGCAGGAGTAATAGCTTTTGATGCTACTACTGTTTGATGAGGTAAGATAAAGAGTATATTGCCCAAGTACTAGCCCACAGTCTTTTTCCCCGACAGAAATCGTGGCATGCCATAGAGATACGTTTACCGAAAAATAATTTGTATATATCCAAAAGAATCCGCTGTTAATGGGTGCAACGTCATTGGTTTTGAATGGCAGTTATGGTAAAGTGAGTTCTTCGTCAACAATCGTGGCATGCAAGTAACGAGAAGATTTTTGACAATATATCTTTCTATAAAATGGACCAAAGGTATGACGAGCCATACCTTCCTTAGAGTGTCAAGTAAATATCAACAGTTTTGAACTTTGATTATCTTTACTAGTGTTAATGACCATAATTCCAATTCATATGCCCATTTAGTACAAGTATATGCAGCAGGGAAAGCTGAATCCATGCCTTTCTAATATTATTTGTACTAAATAAACACAAGCAGCTTAATTTGTAATTTACATTTTATTTACTAGTTGTTTGTCATGTTGATAACTATTATGCAACCTCACGCTTCATTTAGTACAAGCATGCAGGGGGAGGTGGATTCATGCCTTTCTTAAGGATTTTAGTATAAGGGGAACAGAAGCAGCCTCGGGCAAAATTTGAATTTGGTTTATCAATCCTGTTTTATAAAATAATAATATATTGATAACCATTATGCCGTATTACATTCATTTACTACGTATATAGAATCCAGGGTGATGTGGATTTATGCCTTTTTCGATGCAATTAGTACT